ATATGTGTGTGTGTGTATGTGTGTGTATGTATGTATATTATATATATATATATATATATATCCATATGCGGACTGACACCTTCCTTATTATGAATCTTTCTGTTTGTATGGTTCTGGGCGCAATTTCAATCTCAAGAACACCCACTATTTTTCATATCAGTACTGTTGTCTGATCCTACATGGTGTGCATTGCTCAGTTTTATTTAGTCTATTCCACTATCCCTACCCATTCTCCTTCGTATATACTGTCTTACTTTACCGCGGCACATGGCAGGTATTGCCCACCGTCTACCATATTATTGGTACTAACATATAGTCATGCTAGTGTTCTAGTGTTACTACCTTCTGCGTAGTCTTAGCGCATATGGTGACGTAGATCATTCTCATTAATACGCCTGTGCTCTAGTTGTCCATTCGTTTTTCTTTCCTTTTTCGTTTTGCGATAAGGCATATGTATTGTCTATACTTGTCTTCAAGGTAGTCGTGCATCGTACTTGCTGCACTAATTTTACCCTATATGGCACATGTGTTATCCCTGTTTACACCAATGATACCGTATATTGTACATAGACCGTCCTCATGGCATATTGAATATCTCAACATGTATTGCCTTATATCATAGAATGATTGTGTATATAGTTAAATCTTAAAAAAAAAACAGGTCACACCACATACATTGCTATACTCTCCTCTCATAGCCCACCCCATAGCACACCCTAGAGTGCTCAATATATATTGCTTGTATATCATCCTTCCTTGCTTGTCCCATATGCATATCTACCACCCTCTCTTGTTCACCCTATTTTCATGTACATCGTCTTTGTTTGCTTATCACGTATCACACATACCACATGCATGTATGTTTACACATTTTTGTAGGTGGTTCCCGGCGCATTAATCCCAAGAACACACATCAGATCCCCACCGTAGTAGTGTTAGCAGGTCCTAGCAACACGGGAGCGTCCAGTATAGCAACGGCACGACACCTGTCATCCCATGGAGTGCTTGTGTACTTGTGTACGAGTGAACCCCCATCGCAATGGAGTGAGACGTTTAAAAATCAGTTCAACCTGTTTTTATACACTAACGGGAAGCACTTTGACGACATCAGCCAGATGTGTAGGTAAGTCGCGATTCGCTATAGAACATTATATATATATATATATATATATGTATGTATATAGATATAGATATATATATATATAATATATAGGTATATATATATGTACGTATATATATGTATGTGTGTGTGTGTGTGTGTGTGTGTGTGTTATATATATATATGTGTGTGTATGTGTGTGTGTG